AGGTAGGTACTATACATAAACTATAATAGAAAATAAAAATGTATGAACTAAAATAGGTACCAACACCTATTATTATACTGCAGATTTTGACATGTTTATGAAATACTGAAATTAAATTATTTCTATTGTCACACAAGTAGGTATCTATATCTATCAATCTATTTTGTCTATTGGATGCCTATTATACTATTATAGTATTATGCATTGTAATAATAAAAAAATAGATCCAAATACTATTATTTACATAATAATTATGCACATAAATACATAATAATACATCGTATCGTATACACTATAATGAGTATACCTATATTTGTAAGTAAGTACCTACTAAGTAGGTACCCTGTTATACATTGGGATTGTGAATATCTATATATATAGTATTGTTTTATTCTAACCTTGAAATTGTATTCATAACAAATGTCAAATGAATATTATTATTCTGCAATGATCTAAAAATGATATTTATTAGATTTTTATCGGAGCGAGAAAAACATAATATTATTGTGTTGACAGTTATACATCTAACTTTTTTTTTTTAAGTAGTTAGGTATATATTGTGTACGTAAAATCAGTGGCGTAATCTGCAAGAACCAAAAGGGATGGATCACAGAGAATGCGGTAGCACCTAAGCCTGGAGGCTCCCTAAAGGACCCCCTATTCTAAAGTACCTATGTTTTTATTGTGATAATAGGTATAATTGTATGAACTTTATTATAGTAATGAGAGTGTCAGTGTGAAATGTGATTAATATATGTTACCAATTACATTTTTCTGTGTAGGAGGTAGGTTAGGTACTTATTATTAGATACTTACTTTAAATCAAATTTTGTAACAAAATCTTGAAAGTGATTATGATAATTTAGAGTTAATTCCAAAGGTGGGACACAAGTACACAATAATGTCACATATTTTCAAATCGTAAGTTATGTGACGGTTTCATTCAGGATAGTGGATAATAAATTATGTACTAGGTGCTTACTAGCTAATTTTCATAGTCATCATACAACGATGTATATAATAAAACACGTAATATACCTACCTAATAATATACCTAAAATATTTTTTTTAAATGGACGAACACCACTAACATTTCTCGGATATGATTTGTAGGTACCTAAGTAGGTATAACCACCAACATTTCACACTGGTACCAGCTACTTCTTATTTCACCACAGAGTTTCCATCTGTAATATAACTGCTATAGTTAATAATATTTCAAATTCAATTTTATAAGAAAATATTGTAATACACCTCCCGCCCGTTCTTTCCTTCTGACGTTCAACCGTCTTTACAGTAAATTGGTTGGCACTTGGCATGCTTACCACAAAAAAAAAAAAAATCAGTTATTAAATATTAATTTTGTTTTTATGTTTAATTATTATTAATTTATTTTAATTTTTTTGAATAAATAATTCAATAGTTATAAACCACTAGTTGTTATGTATATATACTATACATAGCATTACCTATAGCCGCTATAATACAATATAATCAAACGTGTCTCTATTGACTCATTGGCTGATCAACGTAGAGCCTGAACCATGATGGTTTGAGGCTATCAATTTTACTACTATAGTTCATCTGGCCAAAGGTACATATTTTATAACTAAATTAATAATAATTGTATCAAGTTTTAGTTTTAAAGTACCTACCTACCTATACGGCTATATCTACGGCTAAACGTGACGAAAAGCAATATTATTAAATAATGCATGTATAGCCGTATAGGTTATAGCCTATAGGTAGGTACCACACTGAAAAAAATATTACTGTTCTTATTAACAAAACTGTTAAGTTAAAGTATAAATAGTGAGCGTTACTAAAAAACTGTATCAATTATAAAACTAACCGGTTCGAATAATTCAGCAATTTGTTGTACGTACATATCAATTACTGTTAATATATTTTTGTTGTATATACTAGTAGTATGTGTTATAGTAACTAATTTTTGTGAACATAAATAAAGTTATGATCCGTACAGAATTTACAGTATCATTCACAGTAATAGTTTGAATAGAACAAATATAGTTGAGTTGTTAATACAATATGGATTGTACTTTTTGGTTTAACACTAGGTAGTAGGTACCTAACTATGCTGTATGACTCGAAATATTTACAAAATGTTTTGTTAGTCAAATATTTTACTTTTGTTCACACAACTGAAGTTAGTTCTAAGCAACTAAACGATTGTGGTAGACAACAAATCTTTGGTAATAACACCATACCATTTTAAAGCCACAACCAAATTGATATGTATCGTTAACAAAGTTGAGTTAAAATTAAATAATAACTGGGTTTTACCCGTGTACTAACACTACCACACCCGCTGCCGACGCTGCATGCCGCCGAGAATCACCGATTCTTTATTTGACGACCGACTGCCAAACTCGTGTCATACTGTCATCATTATAGTAAATAGTTCATCAGTTTTTCTCGTTGTCACTTTTAAATTAACTTGTTATTAGTTAATTAGTTAAATTTTAATGATGTCCGATGACCTAGCAGACTTCCTAACAGCGTGGGACTTATCCCAATATATTGATACCTACGTTTCGAGGTAAGTTTTATCAACATACTTACATTATATAATACGATATACCTCGTAACTATTAAGTAGAAAATAGTAAAATTTTTACTTAAAAGTATTGATCACTGAATACTAGTATTTGTATCAATGTAAAAAAATATCAGGTACCTACCTACCTATCTTAAATTGTTTTTATTTTAGATTAATGAATCATCATCTATTGATATTGGAACGGATATTTTATTAGTTGATGACATTTCAAGTATACCTAGCCAAAGCTCTTCAACTGAGGTAAGTATGATTATTCAAATTATTTATATTTATTATATGTTGTGTAGAATTAGATATAGGTTATAATTTAAGGTGCGTAGAGCTTGAACAGCTTAAATCACAATATTGTTTTTTTGGTGACGGGCAATGCAAGTTTTAATATGTTTATAATTTCAATTTTTTAATCACTGGGTTAGTAAAAAGTTATAATTCCCTTTGACCTATATTAGATAAAATGTTAATTAATACCAATTAATTAAACTTGCATGAGAATTACAAAATGTTTATATATACAGTATTTTATAATATGTATATTATATACATTACACACATACTTAAATCTGAATATTTTATAAACAAATTTGAGATCAAACATTTTTAAAACAATTAAGTAATAATATAACACTACCATTTTAAAATATAATTACTTAAATTAATTTTTTTTTTTTTTCATAATATACTCAACAATATTATAATATTAGTGTACCTACACTAAAATCTTAATATTGTATGCAAAAAATTAAGATCAAACATATAATAATATTATAACTTAGTGATTAAAATAACAACAATTTAACAGCTGTATCATAATGAAAAAACAAACTTATTAATAATAAATACAACTAAGTAAATTTTAAAATGAATAAATTATATGAAAAATTGTCAAACCATGTTCAAAATTAATGAAATAACTGACAATTTACTACCTATAACATTTTGTAATTTGTACCATAAAAAAAAAAAGTTGAGTTTATGTTTTGTTTTTACTCCTTATGTGTCTTTTATATACTACCTAATACAAATGTTTAATATTTTTATATTATTATGTATGTTAATTAATAATCATTAATAGAGACCAGAATTTCAAATTATCATTATGGTGCATACACTCAGTATATGAACTCAAAAATGTTTATAATTCCAGTCTCTAATTATTAATTATGCTGGTTATAATTTAAACTGACATGTATTTAAATAATATATAATTTTGTTTTTTTTTTTTAGTCTGTTGATCTCTCAAATCTTCCAAATATCTCAAATATCTCATCATCATCTAAACCTACAGTAAGTCAAATTAATTATAATATAAATTAAATATACTACATAATTAACTGCAGAGAAAATTAAAAAAACCAAAGAACATTCGATTAATCAAATTCTTAAAGATTATGTACAATTGGGAGCTGAAGGTAAACTAAAAAATTAAATTAAATTAAAAAAATAACGTTTGTAGTCCTTGACTCTGTGAGTAGGATGTATAAAAAATGGATTTTTGATTTATTCTAACTATTTATTATGTATTATAATATAATTTAATATTATGTAATTCATTACATCCAGTTATTTTAGTATGTCATATATTTGTATTCCTTAGTATCAATACCATTGACAGATCTAAAAATAATAGTTTTCTTTATTTTCTGGACCAAACATAATTATTGAAAGATTTTTTTCTAACCACATCACTTAATTTATGAATAACAAACATCATTTGTATTTACAGACAATGAAGAAGCATCAAACATATCAGCATTTCTCTGCTTGCCTTTTTTAATTGGAGTCACAATTTCTAGAAGTAAGAAGACAAAACTTCAATGGAAACTTTCAAAATTAGAAATGCGGGATGGATTCATAACACACGTTCGAAGTAATGCAGAGGTACAAGAAACTATATCACGTAAACAAGAAAAATTGTTAGGATTAGGTCATACACAGCAACCATTTATTATTATAGTAGGTCCTACTTTAAGTGAAATTTCAAATTATTTTGTTGTGGTTGATGATGTATTTTATCAGCTAAACTCAATTCTAGCTGCTGTTGATTGTTGCTTTAAAACAACAATAACATTTAACGCAGAGTATCCTGTAGAATGTGAAACCACTTGGTATTTCATTCAAAAGGGGTTTTATAATTTACACACTACATTTGATAAAAATTTTACTACTGTAAACACTTTTATGTCAGATATTGGAATTTCTACTCAATAATATATTTTCTAAAGTAAAGTTGTAGACATTGTGTTGTCAACTTCACTAGAAGAGAATAGTTGTTTCTTACTAGAGACTTTAATAGGAGAAATGAATGAACTTTATATAAAATATAGTAAAAATACACTCAAACCAAAGTTTCATTTTCTTACACATTATCCCTTAATAATAAGAAAGTTTGGTCCTGTTGTCCATTTTTGGTCAATGAGATATGAAGCTAAACATATATACTAACATAATCATATCAAAGATTTCTGCTAGGTCTTCTTTTAATAGACGCAATATTTGTAAAACGTTGGCTATTAAGCATCAACTGCAATTAAACGACATATTTACCAAGTTCTTATTGTGTAATAACCTTGTTATAGGTCCTAGTAAAATATTACATTGCTCAAAATATAACTTAATAAAATCTGAACTCAATCTTAGTACTGAAGAAACATTGATTCGTATAAGTTGGGCTGAACTTAAAGGAACACGATACAAAGTGAATAGTATTTTGACGAGAGACTTGGATGATGACAACCCACAATTTGTATATTCTGTTAAAAATATCTATATGTATGGATCTGAAAACATCATTTTTGAGTGTAATTTATTAAATACTGTAGGTTTTAATGAACATTTGCATGCTTTTGAAATAGAAATACCAGTATCAAATATGTGTTTCATTTACCAGGATTCATTAATATCTCCCATACCAAACACTTTGAATGTAACTCCAGATGGAGTAAGATATGTGACAGTTCGAGACCCATTATAATCTGTTTTGAAATTTCACTTGAATGATATGTTTATATCTATGTAATTTATTTATTTATTTTATGGTTTAATATACATATTCAATGTTTGATACACATGTATGAATGAATAAAAGGTAAATAATAATAATTATGTAAAATCTTTATAATACGTTTTTTGACTTTGTAATTTTTGTACAATATTATTAAAAGAGTACCTATGTATTTTTTATATAACCTGTCATTAATTGTTTTAATTGTAATTAATAAGTAACAATAATTTGTATAATATAGGTACATTATAATAAATTGTAAACATTTTTATGTTTATTAAAATAAAATGCCTAGTTGTTATAAATAAGACTTATTTATTAATTGTTGATTGTGATATAATATAATATGTATTATGTATTATACATAGGTACATATTATGTATTAATGTTTTGTATTTATGACATAAAAAGTTTGCTTCCATAACAAATTATTTTGTACAAGCAACTCAATAAATTTAGAAATGTTAACAAAACGAAAATGTTAAGCTTACCTACTAGAATAGTTCAGTACTAACAAACAAGGCAAAGTATCAGTAACAAAATGATTTGCTGTAGATGAATTGTAATTGTGTACATAAAACAAAATGTATATAAATCGTTACAAACTTTTTCTGTTATCTCAACAAAATAGTAGGATGATATTCTGTAGTATTAAATTCATGTTTTGTATATATAACGGAATGAATTCAGTCACCTATACATAATTTTAGTTGTCAATACCGAATCAAGAATAGTACTGATAACAACATAATATGGTTTATCTAACGATTTACAGTCAACAAAATTACATTTGTGTACACAACTAATGGTTATGTTGTCACCAGCGTTGCCAATGTTTGTTATCTAGTCAGCGGGGAAAATATGACAAAATTACCGTACTTTGAACAATATTACCGTACTTATTGATTTTTTAGGTTATCAGCATGGTTATCAGTTATAATTTCTTATCACAGGTCCGAATTCTTATCAAATTCTTATCAAATATTTATAAAAAATGTAAATCACACTTTTATGCACATATCATTATAAAATCAATACATTATACATTCATCATTCTGCTTAGAATCTAAAATTATTAAATTGTTCAATGAATAATAAAACATAAATTTACAAATAAACATATTTTATAAAAAAGTTAGCAATTATCACATCTTGTCACAATATATGTATGCCTGTGAAATGAAATGTCATTGGTCATTATTGTTCTGAGATCACGTAAATTAGTATAAAGTAAAAATTAATTACAGACAACATAATAAAAAATTCAAAAACAAAAATTACATGATATTTAAAATTAAAAATTATAGTTAATTATTATGATAGTTTCACCCAAGGTTTGGGGTTATTAGATGAACTCTGTTTTCTTTTATGGGGAATTCTATGGAATTCTATGGGAATTCTAACTAGGGAGAAACTGAGCACCATCTTAGTACAGCTCACATAATATCACGATCAAAAGTCTGGGTCAGGTTCGAAGTTCAATATTATATAATATATAGTATTAATACAAAATAAAATCAAATACAAAATAATTATAACAAATATGATGAAAAGCTAATTTTTTTTTTTTGAATTTACCGTACTATTTGACCCATTTTTGGTTGACCGTACTCCGACCGTACGGAGTATGAAATTACCGTAATCCCCCGACAAATACCGTACTATCGGCAACACTGGTTGTCACTGAGGCAACTAAATTTCATAGTTATTGTTACCATATTTTGGTTCCAATAACTAAACTTTTTTTTCAGTGCAACCAACATATTTACCTAATGAATACCGATAACCTCAGTCCTGTAGTGTGGACTAAAATGTAGTGCAGTAAAATAATAAATCTTTTTTGTTTCTTAAAAAACATTTTAATTCATTGTTTTTCCCAATAGGTATTCAATAGATCTTCATAATGGTCCAGCTGCCGCTTCCTCCACAATATTAAAATAATTAATCATTAAAATTGTCATAAAAAACGGCTCTATATCTATGCATAGGTCTTAACATTTCTGGACTGAATGATTCTTGATTAACAACAATTTGATTAATTTTTTACTTATTAGGTACTTATTTTAATTTAATTTTATATAATAATAATATTTTACTATTTTATACCAAATTTTAGATTCTGAGCGGAGCAATGATTGTATTGATTTTACAATGATGTGATTTTTTGTAAATTTTAAAATTGTTGTGTCTTTCATCACCGTTTATGGAAGTAAAACTGCTTCGATTATCTTCAGCAGTACATCATATACATTCGATATAAAAGTGAATCTAGTAATAGTTGGTACATTGGGGAGGTAAGAATTTAAAATTTCCAATAGTTTTCAAAAACGTCTAGAAAACAAAATAAAAATTGGAAAATCGGGAATTTTTACGCAAAATCGATTTTGGTTTTGATTCTACAACAAATAACCATAGTTACATGAAATTTTCACTGGTTGTTTATATTCCCATTTTCTATACAAACCACAATTTTTTTTTATAAGAATTTTAAGTTCGAATTTTGACCTAAAATTTACAAATGATTTTGTAGTTAACAATTTATAAAATGTTCAAATTATATAGATAAGGATTGAACATTTTAATATTTTAAACATGGTCCACTTAAATAGGTTACCTATAATATATAAATTACTTTATTCACAATAATATCATCAAATATACCTACTTAGTAATATCATAGGCTGACTGACCGTCTTCGCTCAAAACCGTTTTTGTATTATATCATTGAATTCAAATTTAACATCATCCATTCAGTGATCCACTTGTAATCTAGGTACTATATAGCAGAGCGACACCTACTTGCCCACCTTTTCTTAATTAATTTATAAATTATTTGGTATCTATCTTAGAACCAGTAATCAGTATTGTAAAAAATACTTTTAAAATGACACCTAAATGGCTAAATGGCAAATAGGTACTATAAATTAGTATTTAAAATAATCTTCAAATAATAAAACAAAAAATCTATTTAGTTCTGATATAACTTGTTATAAACAAAAATGTGTTTATTTCATTTTAAAAAACTGTTTCGTTCAATAATCAAAATGCTGATCAGTCATGCACCCCAACAATGACATTTTCTCTACAGAGAATTATATTATATTAGTTTAAACTTTAAAGCCATATTTTGTACTTGGATATTGTCATTGATCGTTCTCAATGATAACCATTATTATCATATAACTAATAATTATTAATTAGTAACAATATTTTGTTATTGTTAAATTAAAAATAGCTAAAGTGTAATTATCTGCTGTTAAGCAAAAGCTTATTGCACAGTACAATATATTTTCTTATTGACTTAATAAGTTAATTCTGGTACCGACATACCGTTTTGATTGTCGTTGACGATAAACTGGTTCCTGGAGAAAAATATATTTAATTAAGCTATTAATTGCCGAAAACCAATATCGAACTGTCCATTATTGATAAATATATAATATTATTTTTGTTGTAATTAAGGTTGAAGGAAAACTACGACGGTATTTTTATTTAACAAGGATTATAAATAGAAACAAATTAAGCAAAAAAAGAATAAAAAAAAGTATTCAATAAAATAGTATATAATAATAAAAAATGTATTTAAAACCATTCAAATACTTCAAAATAAAGTATTTAAAAAAGTATTCAGTAAGGAAAAAAGTATTTGAATACTTTTACTCAAATCCTTTACAACACTACTTATTAGTAGGTACCTTATCATTAACCAAAATCATTAACTTGTTATTATTACTAAACAAATGTTATTCTTAAGAAACCATACCATAGAACATACTAAACATAATATTTTAAAATTTTAGAATCGTAGTCCTCCACTTGCACTTATAAGTAGGTAAAATTATTCTATAATAATTTATGTACAAAAAAGACATGTAAAAATCTAAAAAAGTTATATTTTTAATTAATTATGTAAAAAAAAATTAGCAGCTTATACTACTGATTTTGCTTTTATATTACAATATATAATATAAAGGCAATGATATTAACTATTTATAGGTAATTGTTGAATACATTAATTTTGGATTATCTTAGTTGACATTACATATTATAACCGGTTTCAATATAATCAAATACAAATAAATAATATTTTAATCACATATTAAATTATATTAATTATAATCTCAATACATACCAAATTGACTATAGCTATTATTTAAAAAATATTAACTTAAATTAACAGTATAAACTTACAACATTTTTTATGGAATAAAAGGTTTCACAAGATACATTCAAAATATATTTATTTTTCAATGAAATGCATAGAAAAATAGATTTATTACAATGAATCATATACTTATTTTATATTTAATAAGTAAATTAAAGTTTGATACAAAATATAAGATCATTGTAAAATTATGAACACTTTTTTACGATAGTTTGGTTTTTTTATCATAAAATTTAGCCAAAATTGCAGCAGAAATAGCAGCTAAAGCTGCAAAAACATATGCACCACTAGAACCATACACATCCATAGCCAATCCGGCGACTACAGGTGTAATAGATCGGGCTACTGAGATAGAGCTAGTCATAGCACCTTCTAGAGTTCCCCTATTTTCACCCATACAGGTTTCCGATAGAATTTGATTTAAAAATACTTCTATCAGAGTACCAGCTGCAATGATAGGAACCATGCACACAATGTGAAACGTTATATTAGGAGCAAATGACAAACAAACATATCCAACAAACAGTAATATAAAACTAAAGAAACATTTTTTGAACGAACTATATTTACGAAAAAATGGTTCCAATCTGGCAACTGCAAATCCAGTAGCAACGCCAATTGAACTATTAACTGACAAAGTGTAACCAACTTGGGATGGTGTGAGTTTATAAGTTTCTATGAGTACAAAACCAAATGTCACCATCATTGTTGATAGTGTTGCAGTATACATCATTCTCATGAACAATAATGGCCAATATTCTATCCAATCAACTTCTTTTAAATGGTTAAACATATTTTTTTTTAGACCAGTTGTTTTAATTATCTTGGTTGGTACACTTAATGTAATAATAATGACATTTATGGCACAAAGTAAGCTGGTTGAGCAAGCTAAGTAGTAAAAACCATTTTCGTGTTCAGATAAATAACCACCATAAATAGGTGCTATCATAAATGATAATGAAATGAAACTGTTCAATTTTCCATGGGCGCTCAATTGTTGAGTTTTAGGTACATTATCACCAATCAATGATTTTCCTAACATTTGGGTGTGTTTGAAACAACCTAACATCAATCGAATGGCAGCAATCGACAGATAAGTATCGCAGTGCCCCATGGCAAAAAAGGCAAGAACACTAAAGATCATTGAAAGCAAAAGCAATGGTTTGCGACCATATTGATCACTCAGTGTTCCAACAATGGGGCCTGTGATTAGTTGTAAGCTTGAGAAGAGAGATTCTAGAAGGGTTATCTGTAAATGAGTAGCTCCAAATTTTAAGAGACGACGATTAAATGAAGGCATGATTGTGGCTAGACTGGCTATGTCTAAAAAGCCAATAATGTATATATAAATAAAGTTTGCCATTTTTAGAATAACTGTACATAAATAAATAAGCTTAACTAATAGAAAATAACAACTATAATTCAACTTTTTCAACGTTTCCTTCAACCTGAAAAAGAAATAGTTATTATTAAAATCGTTTTTAGTAACTAACAATATCAATTAATACTAATATTTTTAATTAAGAGGTACATAGAACAAGGTACAAGAGCAACACCAACTATTTGACATTTGTATTAGATAATATTTAATTGAATCTTCCAGTCTTCTCTACTTAAAGTGTTTTATAACTACTTATTTAAGGGGATTCGATACCGTGATTTTCTGTTTTTGTCTAACTAACATGCGACATAGGATTTTAGACTGGTTCTTTGCCAAACATACCAATTGATCTAATGAAGCGATAAGAATTCTAAAAACAGATTTGAATATGTCGTCAAGTCTACTTGAAACCGACTTTCCCACGTTTTTGTTTTTTAGTTTTAACTTCTCCAAAAATTAAAATAAGGCAATTTTTAAATACTCTTTTTTAATATGACATTTTTAGGAATTTGAGGGATAATATTAAACATGTGGAAAAGTCGATTTAAAGTAGACTTGAAGACAAATTCAAATCTCAAAACAAATTCTGTTTTCAGAATTCTTATCACTTCAATAGATCAATTGGAATGTTTGGTAAAAAACACGTCTAAATTACGATGTCGAGCGTGTGTTAGATAAAACCAGAAAATCACGGTATCGAATCCCATTAATACAAAAATAAAAATATTTATACTTAAAATTTTGAATTGAAATTGGTCAATTAGTTGGGTAAAAACTACAATTCATAAAATAGTAATGGTTTATTTGAAACTATCAGCAAAATAATATTTAAAATAGGCTACCATTTTAATGTTGAAGATAGTGCAAATTGTATTCAATAAAAATTAAATTTTAAAAATAGTAAATGCTTACAAATGGAGAAGCTGGACCTTTGTATACTTGATTTTCAATTGTTACATCAACACAGTCTTCTTGTTGTATCAGGAAATCCTTTGCATCCCAAGCTTGTGAGCCATCTTTATACATGAATATAGCTCGATTATCATCAACCATAAATCTATAACACAAATTAAGTTAACTCTTAAAATTGATTTTACACATTCACATTAGTTTAATTAATCCCACAGTAATAAAAAAATATCTAATCATACACATTTATACTCAATGATGTACTAAATGAATTACAAACGATGAATTTTGCACAAGTAACACCAGCCTACACAAACTACTATTGTATTATTCATTCCAATATAAACTCTGACAAAGTTCATCTATGATAACATTAAAGATAAGATGTACAATGATTCTTTTATTATTTAGCCATCTAGATAGTTTTCTGGATTTCATTTACATATCAATAAAGAATATTTAAATTGCTACATAAAGCAAATACCTATACAAAAGGTATTTTTTTAAACACAAATATAAAATCATAACTTTTAAATTATCTAAAATATTACAACTAGTATAACACACGTGAACATTTTCGAAATTTTTATTTGTACATTAAATAGTATTTTAAATTATTAAAGCAATATCAGGGTTCTAATGAATATAGTATTAATTTTTAATTTATTTACTTATAATTTGAAATATTTTTACAGTGCAAATTGTTAATAATTTTGGCTAGGATTTCTAAGCATTTACATATTATGTTTATTGGTCGATTGTACTGTTTGCTAAGTAAGCATAATATATATTGCATGAAGGAGTTTAAAAGAATAAATTATTTTTGAGTAAATCTATTTCATATTTCAAAATTGTACTGTATTTAGAGCATATTTTAAAGTGGTTTGGACAGGTTTAGTGTTATAATGATATATTGCACTATTTTGTAACTTAAAAACAACTAAAAAAAATTAAAGATATTAAATAGTTAGTCGTAGAAGTAAGTAGAAGAAAAAAAGATAAATTCTAAGTCAACTACTTACTCAATAATTATATCACTGTAAATTTTTTTTGGAAATTATTATTATGCAATAATAAATATGTAAATAAACATTGTTGTAACTTGTGTTTTAATTGATTTAATACTACAATCATATTTTTACCAAATATTTGGCTATTCTTGGTCCATAAATGCATATTTTCCAGAACATAATTTGTGATTTTTTATTTCAAATCTAAGATCTATATTAATTATAATATGTTATAACTAGTGTTTGAAGTATGAAATATTTCTTTTTGAAATATTTTACTATATGGTGAAATATTTCAGAAAAACGTGAAACATTGACATTTTTTTTAACACAAATAAAAAAACTATTTATTTATTTTTTTAACACAATGGTCAGTGTTCTAAATTCTAATGTCAGAATTCAGTAGGTATACAATATACATGTATAATATTGTATACCTACTTGTATCATTTAAACATTAAAATATTTAAAAAAATTTTGAATATCATTTTAAATGTATAATACCAAAGGTTAGGTATACATACAGGCACCATACAGTTATGAAGGTAATTTATGACAATTATATGTAAATATAAAACAAAATTTATTAAAATACTGAAAAATTTCACACATTTTGAAATATTTAATTTTTTTTAAATTTCTAGGAATTTTCAAACACTAGTTATAACTCTTTGTAAGGATATCACTACAAAATGAGTAATATCACAAATATAAATATATAAAAATAATTAAGTGAATGGTATAAGTATTATTAAAACATTTCTTTTGTTAGCGTATACTTGAAGGTGTGGATATTGAGACACAAATTATGCTACCAATATCAATACAAGTTTAAATAAATTATTTAATCATTTAATAATCACATAAAAATTATTTATGGACATTGATTAGAAGCAGATGAGTATATTGATGGTTTATATTTTATGTACCTACTTGAAATATTGAAATTCACTGTAATATCCGTATTAAAAAAGTAACAAATTACACTTTTCTTACCTTTCTGCTTGAATGTGGTTATTCCAAAGACTTGATTGCCAGAGTTTGGTTATTTTATCGACATCATCTTTATTATATTTAGGTGATACTTTCACAAAAGTCATTAAAGTTTTGCCCTTTTTGGATAGTTTTAACAAGGCATCTGGATCACTTCCTAACTGCAAACCACAAATTAGTCATTTGATAATTTATTTAAAAGTATTATTTCATAGGTACTTAATTATAGATACCTATACTCTGGCTCACAAGAGTCCGACTGTAAACCAAGCATCAATACTAACGCTCACGAGGTTTGCTAGCCAAATTTTCTCCCACCATGGTACCATTCCCACTACTCGGCATGGTTAGGTTAGGTTAGCAAGAGAGGACCAATGTGCAGCAACGGACTTGTTTTTGAGGTCGGACGCTTGTGGGCCAGAGTATACCATTATAGGTACTTTTAGTTATAGACTACTTATTGATTTATTTTAATGACTAACATTCAAAAATAGTATGTTAACTTAGAAAAATGTTATGCATAACATAGTTAGTATCAAAAATAATCTAAATGGCAATAATACTAAATAATGATAGAGTAATTTTAAAGTTACCAAAGTTGGATCAATGTTGACAGGAGGTCTCAAGTGTTCAGGTAGCTCGTCAGGTTCCAAAGGTTCTTCGTCTTCCTAGGTGTAGAACACAAAATAAGAAAATCAAAAAACCATTAATAATATAGAAAATTAACACATCATGTACCTATAACTTATACTTCCGAGTAAATTGCTAGGTACATGATTAATTTAGTAGGTATTAATGCATTTTTCAAGGTTATATTCAAACGCTGTAATTATAGGTATAATAATGCTTACCTCCCACTGGTCAAGCAATCGCTCCATGTCGGCCTCGGAATAAGAGCTAATATCTTTTTTGGCCCAAGACGGCTTCTCACCGTCGGGCGACTTTTTTGCAACCACCGCAGCCGTCAGCACCAACACCACCAAAAGCGTCGAACGAATCATTTTTAAAGCGGAAGTACCGATTATCAGTCGGATGGATTTGCACGACGGCTGCAAAATTAATTTACTGAAAGCGGTTTAAGTGTGCAACGACAAATATATTATAATATAATATATTAATATTATTATTTATTTTGATAAATTGAAAAACAATATGAAAATGAATTGCGAAGAAAACGATGATAACAGTCGGCAGGCACGGGATATGCGTTGGCCGAATTCGAGATATAACGGGAAATATAAACTGTCACAACGATTACCACATTTTGTTTATTCTGTGGTACACGTCTGTCCACGATAACAATATTGTTTTATGATAACACGGAGGTGGCCATTGGTCATATTCATAGATTAAAGATAGTGGTAAGGTAGATTTAATGATTTAATCCACCTTGGTTGGATAGTGGATCGTGGATGTGGTCATGGGGATTAGAAGTTAACCTAACCAGAGATTTTAAAAACATATTTTTTTTAAATTTAAAATCTCTGAACCTAACCGTGGTTAACCAATGATTATAACATAAACTTGGATGCAAACAGTATCACTATCTGGGCACTTTAAATAAATCAGATGGTATCTCCATTTTGGTAAAAGATCGTTTTTATATATCGAGTATAAAGTATATTGTATAATGCAATTGATTTTTCATTTTTGTAACTCATTAGATGTAATTATCTTATTTAAATAACATTAAATACCGGGGTGCTGGAATATATAGGTCACCAAGTTACAATGTTGATTTTTATTTTTAGATTCCCTCGAAAATTTCCTTACTATAAATAACAAAAATAAATTTCATTATACATTATGTGGGGATATTAATATTAATATTTTTAACTATAATATTCTAATGCAACCAATATTATCGAGGGGCTATATTTTAGCCGAAAATATTAAAGCCGACAGTATTTTAGCCGAAAATGTTATAGCCGAAAGTATTTTATCCGAAAAATATTACAGCCGAAAGTATTTTAGCCGATAAATATTACAGCTGAAAATATTTTAGCCGATAAATATTACAGCCGAAAGTATTTTAGCCGAAAAATATTACAGCCGAAAATATTTTAGCCGAAAAATATTACAGCCGAAAATATTTTAGCCGAAAAATATTACAGCCGAAAATATTTTAGCCGAAAAATATTACAGCCGAAAATATTTTAGCCGATAAATATTACAGTCGAAAGTATTTTATCCGACAAATATAACAGCCGACAATATTTTAGCCGAAAAATAGAATTTGACAGTTGGTAATATTGATTATAATCAATGGTTGGTATGTAGGTTATTAGAAAATGTATAAACCTTGAGTTGGTATAACTTCTCCAACCATTCGAAATGTTATGCTGATTGTTGATTCGTATATTTAACTGCCTATATTAGCCTCCTAAAATAAAATATTTCATTGAATTTATATATTTAAATATTTTGTATGTTATAAATTGAATATTGATGTAAAACAAATAACAATAACAATTATTAATATATTTTATATATGATAAAAAACAAAATCGATGAATACCTATATAATTTTGTAATATTTTTATAATAACTTAATAATTAGTATAAAATAATCTGTATAAAATCAACCAAACAAAATTCCTAATACATATAATATTACATAATAATTAACAGTAGGTATAACAATTAAAAAAATAACTCTTTTATAATCAGATGGCAATATTAGTATTATATTACATTATGAGTAAACATGTTTTTTTCTCTAGTATAAATGGTATAACTAGAGTCTAGAAGCCAGAATGATATTGATCACATATTTTTAAAAAAAATATAAATATTAACCTTATTCTAGAGTCTAGTTATATTATACGTATTAGTATTAATGATCATTTAGTACCTACTTCTATTTTAACAGATGTCGATTCTCTGATAAACAATAAAAAATCTGAATATGTTTCTTTTAATCTAACTACAATTAAAAAGATTAATTATAACAGATTAAATTCAATCTTAAATAGCGAAGATTGGAATAAAATTTATTTTAGTCGGTCTATTAATGATGCATTAACTACAATGAAAAAATTAGTACTGCTATAAATAGTTGTACAAATGAAGTTAAAATACAAAATTGCTGTAAATTTATAGAACTAAGAAAATGGATAACAAGGGGTATCTTAGTTTCAACTTCCAATTAATAATAAAGAAAAAATGTACAGAAAAAACCGACAGAGGCCTTTTGATCTAAATGTTGCTACTAAATTCTCAAAATACAAAAATACACTTCAAATTGTTTTTAAAAATGCACCTATACTACACTATCAAAATGAAATCATACAATCAAATTCAAATACTAAATCTACATGGCGTATTATAAATGAAATTATTGATAATAAAAATAAACCTAAAATTCCGATTGCCTCGCTTTATAATAATGAATATAAAATAGTTGAAGACGAATTTCAAATTTGTAATATTCTAAATGATTATTTCACCAATGTTGGTGAGAATATATCAAAAAATATTTTAAAAAAAGTTCTCATAAATTAGATTGGAAATATTTAAACAATAATTGTTACGTAGATGAATCATTATTTCTAAATCTGATTTCAGTTGATGAAGTTGAGAACGATTTAAACTTATTAAAAGATGACTGTTCATATTATGAACATGGAATGACAAATTATTCTTTAAAAAGATCGTCTAAACAAATATCTTTACCTCTTTTTAAAATTAGGATTCTTGGGGCCCCGAACACATTCAATATATGGGGCCCTGAGGTCTATGTATAATATAATATTTTTTATAGGTTAGGTACCTCAGTCGGGTTTCGGCAGCCAAAGCGATAGCATGTGCGCTGTTCCGTAATGTGTTACCACAGAACAATATAGAATAGACACTCGATCAGCTGTGAGGGTTTACGTATCCCTACGGTATGATGTATTGGACTATAAAAGTTGTACCGTATCCGTAATCTGATAGAACGTTAGCAACGTGTATCCCTCTTTGTTACGGAATTTTTATAAACGATTAATAAGGATAAATAATTTATTTTTCATATTTTAAGTATATCAATATTAAATTTTGGTAAAATGAATAAGTATTTTGTTTTAATATAAATTAAAAACTATAATGTAATTTTACATTGGTTTATTGTTAATGAAATAATAATAATAATATATTGTATTATTATTCTGTAGACTGATAATATTGATATGATTTATTTAAATGATAACATATGCCACGCCCCCTTAGAGACCGTGCTCAAGGCCACAGTCACCCGATTTTGCCAATACACAGAGTGTCTATACCCTGGTGTTACGTATCTTATCAGTTTACTTTTAATTGCCATGGCTAATGTGGTTTCTCCTATCGTTATAATTAACAAAAACACCGTTCGCAAATCGAAAATGAATGCCACTCCAACAAAAAGAGCCCTCTCATCGTCATCGTCATCACCAAACTCTCCGGTCCACGAAGACAAAAAGAGCAAAGTTTTTGTTTCCCCAAACCGTTTTGAAGTCTTAAGAACGGAAGACGAAGAACTTGATATCGCCAACCTCCCCGTCTCACCATCCAGCGTAACGTTGCCAGTTCAGAATAACCTCAAACTTCCTAACATCGTCCTAAAAAACGTAAGTGACTTTACTACTCTCAATAAGGATCTTACCCGTCTGGTGGGCCCAGAGAGCTTCACCTGCAAAGCTAAAAAATCCAGTTTAATTTTACGGACAAATACACGAGCTCAGTATGTAGCCATTAAATCTTATCTGATCAATGCCGCCTGTGATTTTCACTGTTATCAACCCCGCGCTCTCCAACCGTTCCGCGTTGTATTACGTCACCTCCACCACTCTACCACCACCGAGGACATCATTAATAGCCTAAGAGACCTTGGACACAAAGTTATCAGCATTTCAAACATACTCAATCGTACAAACAAATCGCCACTTCCGTTATTCAATATTTCCCTAGCCCGCAACAGCAACAACAACGACATTTTCAAAATAAACAAATTGTTTAACTCAATTGTGAAATTCGAGCATCCGATAAGGCCACTTGGTCCTCTCCAATGTCACTCTTGTCAAATGTATGGACATACACGCAATTATTGCCACCAACCTCCGCGTTGCGTGAAATGTGGGTTAAGCCACCTCACCGAAGATTGCTCTAAACCACGGGAAGAACCCGTTAAATGCGCCAACTGTAACGGTAACCACACTGCCAACTACAAAGGTTGTCAAATTTTTAAAAATTTACTAAAGCGCACCATTTACAAAGTCGCTTACAAAGCTGACAAAGTTGAAAAACCGAAAAAAACACCCCAGCCCACCATCTGCTGTACCTGTTGCACCACAAATCTTCAACGTCCCCAGTTACAACTCAAATCAAAAACCGACATCTTATGCCAAAGCCACAGCCAACTCTTCATCAGTCAATCAACCTCTCCACATCATCAACAAATTTATTGAAGATTTAAAATGTATTTTAAACCCTCTTCTATTGGCTCTTACTTCCCTAATTAACAAAATTACACTTCCCATTTCGTCCACTCCATGACATCCCTCACCCCAAGTTAGAGGGTACCCACACTGGTGGGCCTCCCTCCTCAAGCCATTCATGTTATTATTGTTTCTTTCATTACCTAATTTACTTATTGTATCATAAAAATTACAGATTGTAAATATTCTATTTATCTAATAAAAAAAAAAAAAAAAAAAAAAAAAAAACCCGGTGACCAGTGTATTGTTATTAAAACATAACTACACTTTAAAGGTTCTTTTTTTATTATAAATATTAATTAAAGCTTTTGTAAAAATATATGGTTCTAAAAAAAGTATTGCATAGCAATATAGCATAAAGATTACGTGTACCTACTTATATATTATATTCAAACATATAATTAGGTATATAGAAAAAATATTTACCATATTAAAAATTATAAAAAACGAATCACAAATAGATACAAATATTTAAAAATAATTTATAAGATATCAATTGATCATACATATAAGGTATATATAGGTACTCATAGGCGTGGGCAGAC